GGTTTTTCTTTTTGGATTTTGGAGGAGGATGCTTTTAGTCAATCAAACCAATAAGGAACACTAGTCCTTCGAAAATGGAGGCCCTACTCACTTCCTCCTGGGCTCACAGGTAAGCCCATCTGTGAGGGAGCTTCTTAATGGGCCAGGCCCACTAGGCTCCTCGTTGGAAGATACACTGACATATGGGCCGCTTACTTTGAAAGCCCCATATCGTTGTGTCGTGGACTGGACGTTATAGCAAAAAGCTCAGCACTACCGCGAAGAATACACAGAACAGCACATCATGGGTCGACCTTATTTGGCACGGCTTGACCGACTTATTTATTTATATTTATAGACTTCAAAGAAACGGCATGCTTGACAAACAGTTGTATGCTACTTCCTCCCTACTAGAAAATTTGATGGTTTATGATAAAAAAAATTATCTTAAAAAACTAGACGTGTTAGCTCTTAAATAATAGATTGAACCCGCGTCAGCATGAGTTTGCGGCCTATATGTTTCCCCATATAAATAAATTTATAACTAAGCTATACATGATCCAATGAGTATGAAATTTTTACTACAGTTCAATCATACAATAAGTAGCCCACCATAAAACTTTCATCACAATTATACCATAGAAACTGCAGCTATGAATTATTCCAATTAAATACAGAAAAGCATAGATCCAAAGGCACAACAAAAACTTTGTACCAAAGCATACCATATTATATGTTCACTGTATAGGTCTACTCATGTGGAGTCCAACAAAATTAGATTTTCTATTTTATGATTTTTCTGTGATTTACTATGATTTTTCAAAAATTCAGCCGAAATAAATAAAAAATAAAAAGACAAAACCGCCTTCAAAACTGCTTATAACAGGGGTAGGGAGGTAAGATGAACGGTTTTAAAAGTTTAGGGAGGTATTTTGCCCGGCTGTGGAGTTTAGGGAGGAAAAGCGGATTTTCGCGAAAATTGAGGGAGGCAATGTGGATTTTTTCCATATTAAAATCCTTCTCGAAAATAGAGACCCACTGCTCGCTGGCCTGGCCCATATAAGGCCCGATTGGCACCTGACGCTACTCACTTTCTCCTAGGCCCACACGTAAGCCCATCTGTGAGGCAGCTTCTTAATGGACCATAAATACTAGGCTCGTCGTTGGAAGTGGAAGATACACAAACATATGGGCCGCTTACTTTGAAAAAAAAAGCCCCCCTTCTCAAGCTGTATCTTCGTGTTGTACTTGTTAGCGTGGACCGCACGTTAGGGAGATTGAACATCAGCACTACCCCAAAGAATACACAAAGGAGCACGTCATGGGTCAAACAAACGATCAGTCAGTCACGCACTCACGCCATTACCAACTTAGGCCTTGTTTAGATTGCCTCAAAGTTTCAAGTTTTTTCACTCTATTTCCATCACATCAATTTTTGGACGCATGCATGGAGCATTAAATGTATGTATAAAAAGTAACTAATTGCATAGTTTGGTTGTAAATCACCAGACGAATCTTTTGAGCCTAGTTAGTCCATGATTGGACAAAGTTTGTCAAATACAAACGAAACGTGCTACAGTTTCCAAATGGTAAAAATTTGCAATCTAAACAAGGCCTTATTTGGCACGGCTTGACCGACTTAGACTTCAAAGGGAGATGTGTGAAACAAATGACATGACATACAGTTTCTATGCCACTTAATTCCTCCCTGCTAGAAAATTTGATGTTTTGCTCGCAAAAAAAAGAAAAAGAAAATTTGATGTTTTACAATTAAAAAATTGTCTCAAAAAATTTTATGCATTTGCTCTTATAAATAACAGATTGGATCCATATCAGCACGAGGTTTCGGCTTATATGGAGATTCCATTCATTCTTTTTAATAGCGGCTTATATTTCTTAATTAACATGCGTATGCCTTAATTAGTATAGATCAGCTTCAATAAGGTCATGTTTAGTCTCCTAAGAAAAATGAGGTTGCGGTGAAAAAATTAAAATGAGATAGATCCTAGAATCCAACTATCTATGCAAAACCTTTTATGGCCCCTTTGGAACGTAGAATTTTGACAGAAATCATGCTGGAATTCTATATGAATCAGCTCAATTTTGCATGAAAAATACACGATTCAGAGAAATTTCACGTGTTGTAACGGGTGCCTTAGTTGGATAATTTCAATTTCACTATGCAAAGGCAATATTCATTATGTGATGCGATCCACACTTTTTTCATCCACATTCTAGCTATGAGAATGAGATCCAAAAAAAAATACATAAGTAATTATCATTGGGCACTAAAAGTTGAGCTTGGCTCGTGAAAAAATTATAACGAGCCAAGCCGAGTCGATTCGAGCCAAATTGATCACGAGCCGAGCGAGCTAACGAGTCGCGAGCTTTTTGTCCGGTCCTAATTCTCGTAAATAAAACTCGTAAAACATGTAAGTATTTCTGTTGGGGTGGGGGAAGAGTACTCTACCTCGCACACTCGAAAAAGGAAATAAATAAATAATGAACCGCATGCAAGCCTTAACTGAATGAAGCAAAAAAAAAAATCGCTGAATGAAAACAGAAAGGATCGATCGCAGCACGTACACACATATATAACGCGTAGACGACTTTTAACCAGATGAAAATAGTAATTGATTCAAATTCAAATCGCAAAGTCCGATCGGGTGTGTACCTGCAGGCAGTATCTCCGACTTCATCCCGATCGAGATCGCGCCCTTAACCCGCCCTGCCGGGTTCCGTGCCGCCGCCGCCGCCTGGATCCGGCCGGCCGTTGAGTTCGGCGCCGCCGGACGATCCCGCTAGCTGCCCAACGAGAGTAAACACAGCTTCATCAATATAATACCTGATTTGACATGCACGAACGAACGATGATCGGACGTCGTCGTACCACGTTGACGAGACGAGGAACTGGCTGGCTCTACCTGGACGGCGACGTGCGGCGGCGCAAGAGGCTGCCGTTGCCAGCGGGTAGGATCGGAGTAGCTAGGACGAAGGAGCCACGCCACACCCTATACTCATGACCTCCATCTCTCGCGTCTGTATATATACTGCCACCCTCGGCGCCACTAAGAAGCTGCCACTGCCACTGCTAGTTGCCGCGTGCATGCATGCCGCGGCGCGACTCGCGTGAGCCCCGGCGGTTTATATGCCGGCCAGCAGGCCGGGCGCCCGGGCGGGCGCCTGCAGTGTGCAGTGCAAGCAGGGAGCGTACCGCACGCCGGTATGCGTTGTGTGCTGCAGCAAGCTAAGCAGCCACACGGGAACTGCGTTCTCGCGGCCCGGCGCTTTCCATTCGTCCCCTGGTCTTGTTTCGCTGAAGAGTGACGAACTGACGACGGCTACTCCGTACGTACATTACAGTTTCTCTCAGCAAGAATCTATAGTATTTTTCTCTCATAATAAAACAGCTTCAGCCAGCTTATCAGTCGGTTTATGTATCAGCCGAACATAGCCTCAACTTCCAACCTGGAACTGGCAGCCTGTTCGTTTGACTGTGGCTTGTCGTAAACGATCGTAAATTTCCAGTCGAAACAGTATTTTTCTCTCACACAAACCAACCAGCAGTACTTCTTCACAAACCAGCAACGAAACAAACCAGCCAGCTGAACAGGCTGCAATGCAGTTGCAGCTTCGGATCCAGGAGGAAGCCTCTCCGCGAAACAACTGGCCGGGCCGGCCGCCGTAGACTAGGCTACTCTGCTTCTGCTACTGTTGTTGCTGTCGCTTGTTCATCTTCGTTCACATATGCATCGTGCATCTTCCATCGTCGTCGCCTTGTTTGGCTTCGGGTGGTGGAGTTATGAGCAGGGTTCAAAATTTCGGCTGGATCGGAAATTCGGTTACAAATACTGGTGTTTAGATGTACATCCTAAAATATAGTACATTCCAGTCATTTTTAAACAAAATAAAGGAGAGTGCAATAGACGCATGTACCCCTCACTTAACTTTAATGTATTGAAATCTGATTCTACTGCCCCCATATAACTAAAGGGTGGATTTTGAGTGTCCATATACAAAATAATCACGTATTTTTATTTAAATAAACAATATCTTCTTATTTCCCTAATGTACTGTATTTTAGGATAAATTTCAAATGCCGGTATGGAGGGAGTAAGTCTGAAGAAACTAGATTACACTCGTCTATCCAGCACACCAACTGGGCCCAAAAGCATTACACTCGCCTTCCTTAGTTGGCCAGCCCAGCCCAGCCCAGCCCAAGTACCGCCAGAAACAGAAGTTCGTTCGCGGGTGGGCCCAGTGACGTGGCTCGGTGGCGTGCGTGTCAAACCGGTGGAGCCGCTCCTCCTACTCCGCCAGTCCGCCGCCTCGCTTCGCTATCGGCTATCCCCTCTTCTTCTCCTCCTTTCCTCTCCGTGAACTTTTAAATCACGCACACAAGCGACGCCGGAAGGTAACTAAAAACCGGCAATAAATCGCGGAATTCCCAACGCCCCCCCTCACCCTCACCGCGGACTCCCCAATCCAACCCAACCCCAATCCGCCGGCACCGGCGGAGGCGCGGTTCCGGTGCGTTTCCACCCGTTTCCTGGGGCCCAATCCCACCGTCTCCTCGCCCACCACCCCAAATCGCATTGCGGATTTTCGGTTGCTGGACTTTTTCCCCTCCCCGTGATTTTTTCTGCGCGTTCTTCGATCAGGGGCGCGCGCGATTGGATCGGCGCGGGCTTGGCTTCCCCTTGAGCGGCGCGGATTCGTGCCCGATCGGTGGGCTGCGGCGGCGGCGGAGGCCTCGGGGTGTGATCTGCTGCGTCCGGCTTCCTCTTGGTACGGGGAGGCAGATTTTTTTTTCTCTCTCGAGCGAATCGAATCGACGGTTGCTCGCTCTCCTCTCGTCGACTCGGGATTGAATTCGCGGCAGATGTCTCCCATGTACTCATTCCCTCACATCACAGCTTCTGTTCCTTGGCAGGGAGGGGAGGGGGAGGAGTGGAATGGACGGGGAAGCGTTCCGGGTGGGTGGTGGCCAGTTGGCGGCCGCCTACCCCTCCGGCGCCGCCATGGAGGATCCGAATCAGAGCCAGAACCAAAGCCAGTTCCTGTTCAGCGCCAAGTCCGCCGCGCCGCTGCAGCTCTTTGGAAGCACCGCGGGTAAGATGGATAACCTTTCCTGCTTATCTCGTTGCCACGTGATTTTTCCTGACTCCGAACGGTTTACTAGCAGATTTGTACGCGGATGGTATCTCCGGGATGTAGCCAATATTGCTGCGTTAGTTCTGTGTGCCAATATCGCTGCGTTAGTTCTGTGTGTTCCTTGAAAGTTTGTGTGCTAGAATAATGTTCCATTCCACCCACTTACCATTCGGTCATGTGAAATATGTCAGAAACATCTAATTTTTGTCTGCAATGGCAGCAAAATTTAGGGCCTGTTTGGTTTCTTCCCCTCCTTCTAAAATTCCTGTCACATCGAATGTTTGGACACATGCATAGAGTATTAAATATAGGCTAATTACGAAACTAATTGCACAACTTGCGACTAATTTGCGAGACGAATCTTTTAAGCCTAATTTGTCCATGATTTGACAACGTGGTGATACAGTAAACATGTGCTAATGATAGATTAATTAGGCTAAAAAATTTCCCTCGGAAATTAGCCTCCATCTATGTAATTGATTTTATAATTAATTTATATTTAATGCTCCTTATTAGCCTCTAAACATTTGATGTGACATAAATTTTAGGAGCGACTAAAGAACCAAACACCCCTTTAATCTCACAGAAGCGGTCAGAGTCATTTTGACAATTTTAACAATGAAAACACTCAGCTCGCTGGTAGTCATGACATTATCCTGGACCTACCTTGCTTTTTCATAGACCTATACACATTGGCATCCATATTTTCGGTGAAACTAATTAATTGAATTATGCCTTCTTGCCACACTACTGAATTTCTATCCCCTTTTTTGCTGACCGATTTTTGTGTTATTATATTAATGCAGTCCCCGCGGTTGGTCCTGCTGGTTATTGTAATTACACTGGAAACACCCACCTTCCTGTTATGAACCAAGCAAGGACTTCAAACATTGACGCAGGGACTGAGAAGCTGCTGAAGCTTCAGATGTCCTTGAACGACTATCATCAACAGAATGCTGATCGGTTAGCGCGTGTTGGCAATCCAAGTGCTGTGTCAACTGGTCTGAGGCTGTCTTATGAGGATGATGAGCACAATTCGTCGATCACGTCTGCTAGTGGTAGCATGACCTCGTTGCCTACCACAATGTCTTCTGTTGATGATCTCATGGCTGAACTGGACAAAGAAAACAGAGAGATTAGTTATTACTTAAGACTTCAGGTAAATATTCAACGCAGCTTCATTCATCGATCAAATCCTGGATATTGTGTTTTATGGGACAACAAGGATGCAATGAACAAATAAATAATTATTTATGAATTTCTTATTTGGTTATTCCATCATGGAAACAGTGGTAGACCTTTATATAGTTTAATATTAATATTTGAATGGTTTAGTTATCTAAATATGCTGTGTCAGAACATTGTCAGATACATTGGCTTGCTGTAGTGCATTGATTCTCCTGCTTTCAGTTTCTATGCAGAACATTCGAATCAGTTATGCATACCATGTTATAACGAGATATATGAGATAGTGCGCTTGGTTCTCTATTTTAGTGTCTATTGTTTTGATCTTGTATGTTACATGGGTCTAACTGTTTGATTTGAAATAATACACCTTTATATAGTTTAATATTAACATTTAAATGGTTTGAGTTATCTAAATATGCTGTGTGAGAACATTGCAAGATACATTTGCTTGCTGTAGCCTGTAGTGCATTGATTCTCCTGCTTTCAAGTTCTATGCAGAACATCCAAATCAGTTATGCATACCATGTTATCACGATAATATATGAGCTTGGTTCTCTATTTTAGAGTCTACCACTAGTTTGATTTCTTCTTATAACCCCTTTCCACTTCATGGCTCTTATTATTCCCCACAGGCAGAGCAAATCGGCAAGCAGATGAAGGAGGCGAACCAGCGGCGGATGATTTCTTTCCTGGCGAACCTCGAACGAGCGGTGGGGAAGAAGCTGCGGGAGAAGGAACTGGAGGCGGAGGCGATGAACAGGAAGAGCAAGGAGCTGAACGAACAGATCAGGCAAGTCGCCATGGAAGTCCAGTCATGGCAGTCAGCGGCCATGTACAACCAGTCGGTCGCCAACAGCCTGAAGACCAGACTGATGCAAGTGGTGGCGCAGAGCACCAACCTCACCAGAGAAGGCACCGGTGACAGCGAGGAGGCCGACAACGCTGCCTCCAGCCAGAACCCCAGCGCCGGAGCTGGAGCCGCCCCTGAGGGCTTCTTCCAGTCTGGCCTCCTTGGCAGCGATGGCGGCAGGGGCACGACGACGACGGCTACCGTCGGGCTGGGGGCTTGCAGGTGGTGTGGCGAGAAGGAGGCGTCGGTGCTGGTGATGCCGTGCCGCCACCTCTGCCTGTGCATCGACTGCGAGAGGGTCTCCGACGTGTGCCCCGTCTGCCGGTTCCCCAAGAGCGGCAGCGTGGAGATCAACATGTCCTGACAAGGACCTATGTAAGGACGCTCGATCGAAATTGGCGGGTAGAGTATACACAGTAACTAGTAGATGGTAAGCGTGTTCGTACAGCGGTGTACATGTCAGCATGTTTTCCCTTGGCTGAGTTCTGGACCTCAGTTGTCCAGGTGTAAGGTTGGCCGGCTGGTATTAAATCGACTTCTGCTGATTTGTATAGTTAGTTTGTTGTGCGAGAAAAGTACTGTTTCACGGCTGATTTGTATGGATTAAAGCCGACAACAGGATGAACATTTTTGGTAGGCCTTGCTAGCATGTCTGAAACGGAAGCTGCTATAGCATCGGACAACGATGCCACGCTTATTTTGGTGCTCTATTTTATTTGTATCTACTTTTTTCCGGTTTCCGAAAAAGAAGAGTGGAAGGTGATGTGTACCAAACAGTCAGCATCGCAGCAGGAAAAAAGTGCGCGTCACGAGCAAGCCCAGCACCACTGCACCAGCGCACAAGCAACGAGCTCTCGCAAGTCAACAATGTGTCGACATGATGCTTTTTTTTCTCTCGTACACACAGGAAAGCTCTATATCATTGTATTATTAGAAAAATATTGACATGATGCTCAACATAGATACAAGGTTGCTGGCAGAATCATCCCCATCAGGGCAGGGGACTCTGCAACTAAAACTAAAGGATGCTCCAAGAGAGGGAATGAAGCAAGGAAGCGGAATCTGAAGTCGAGAACTGCTGGGCTGCTGTCCCGAATAAAGAATAGTTTTGACAAAACAAAATAAGAAGAAAAATGACTCTTACTTCGACATAAGAAGAATAGATGTAAGGAAAAAACAAGCTCTTTTTTTGTGCTCAATAAAGAATTAAGACCACAATTCCTTCTAAAAGAACTTGTTCCTTTTAGGGAGTCCAAACACTCCAGTGTTCGTCGGTGGTCTCATTGTGCCACATCAGATGGGAGCAGTGGTGGAACCACACCCTTCTGTTGGGATCAATTGATCCCGACGATTTTCAAAAATTTATAAGGAAGTCATTATTATTAAGTGTGTTTCTATGGTGTAGATCATAGATGGTAAGGTAGATGTTGTGCTGGCTTCACCCCATGGATAGAAGATGCCATGGAGGGGAGAGATGAAAAAGTTAGTAGTCTGCAAAATGACAATAGTTCTTGCAAAGTCATCGAGAGCCTCAGGAGAGAGAACGTTAGCTTGTGAGAGGGAGAGAAGGATTGTTGGCTTGTTGCACTTTTGTCTGAGTGTGGACAGAAACCGTGGTCCAGCGTATGGGTGCCTGCGCTATGAGCTTGGAAGTTTGGATGTTGTATTAAATGCATTCTGCTTATGTGTTGAATGAGACCACTGTAGTCTATAGTTAGGCCCTCCACAACGTGAGAGTGAAGCTTAAAAATTTTTGGACCCCAGATAATTAGCATCGAGCCTGTTTTGCTGCTATGGGAGGCATCGCTCCGGGATCCACTGGTATAGTAAAAAAAAAATGCTCCGGCGCCGAAGACAGACATGCACTCCACCGCCAGTCCAGACCTGCATCACTGTACGAACTGAAATACTATTGAGGTGGTGTTTAAATTCAAAGGCTAAAATTTAGGTGTGTTATATCGGGTGTCACGCGGGATTATTTGGATAGCAATAATAAAACAAATTATAGAAGTTTTCAGTACTCCGCGAGACGAATTTATTAAGCCTAATTAATCCATCATTAGAACATGTTAATGTAGCTTTACTGTAGCACCACGTTGTCAAATCATGAACTAATTAGGCTTAAAAAATTCATCTCATAAATTAGTCGCAACATGTGCAATTAATTATTTTTTAGTCTATATTTAATACTCTATGTATGTGTTCAAATATCCGATAGATAGAAACTAAATTTTAGGGTAAAGAGCTAAACAAGGCCTTGATTCATTTCATTTGGCACCGGTGCTTGTTCTTTCACCGCTCCCAAAATTCTTGACATCACTTCTATTTGGCATCGGTTGTTGTAGTGGTGAAAGTGATGCCTCAAATTTAATTCACGGCATCACACCGTGCCAATACTGCGGAAGGCCTTATATGCTTGCATCGGTCATGCTCTTATTGTTCTCGTCTTTGCATTGGATCCTCTTCTTTTGCATGAGATAGAACAAGGAGTTCTAGAAATCGAGGCTTTTTTTCTAACTTGATGGTAAGATCGAAATCCTAGGGTCTAGAAATTCATTTGTAGAATTGAATATTTTTGAACTGTTTCTTTTTTATAATAAAAATCTTTTTGGCAACATAACAGATGCCACCGTTTCTCTAACTCTTCACAAACCGCAGTATTTCCGTTTGCTTAAATGAAAATGGGGTTGCCTGCCTCGTGTGCAAGAAAAAGTCGCAATGTGGCCGATGCGTATGCTTGCCGTATGGCAGTGGTGGCCAGCCGGATCTGGGACTCTGAATCCATCCATCGCAGCCAAGGACGCACTTGGAGGCCGGCCGTGGCAATCATGGCAATGGAGCCACATGGTGGATGATGCGCAATCATGGGCCGCGCATGGCGTTCCCGCAGCCACCTGGTGATCCTTTCACGAAAGAGCATCAGCATTGTCCTAACGAAACGATACGAGGTGACATTCAGCTGTTTTTTTCTCCTCCTGCGAACTGAATTTTTTCAAAAACTTACGGTATCATCCAGCTAAATTTACACCGTTCTATTACTATATTTACAATGATTTCTTTAGTGTAATTTATGGGACAGAGTGATGTAATTTAGGGATAATCAATTGTCATGTATTGATATTATAGATACCCAAAGCAAGTAAGACAGCACCCACGCTGACTTCCCCGGATGGCTCGAGATGTATTAAAAGGTCTCGCCCGATCCTAAGGCCGCGGGATTCATCTCGCCCGACCTCGAGCCCCCGACCCCTTGGGTGCGGGCTCTGTCTCGCCCGACTCCAAGGCCGCGAGTTCCGTCTTGCCCAAAGCCGCGGGCTCCGTCTCGCCCGTCCTCGAGGCCGCGGGCTCCGTCTCGCCCGACCCCTTGGGTGCGGGCTCCGTCTCGCCCGACCCCAAGGACGTGGGTTCCGTCTCGCCCAAGGCCATGAGCTCCGTCTCGCCCAACCTCGAGGCCGCGGGCTCCGTCTTGCCCGACCTCGAGGCCACGGGCTCCGTCTCGCCCGACCCCAAGGACGCGGTTTCCGTCTCGTCCAAGGTCGCGGGCTCCGTCTCGCCCGACCTCAAGGACGCGGGTTCCGTCTCGTCTAAGGTCACGGGCTCCGTCTCGCCCGACCTCGAGGACGTGGGTTCCGTCTTGTCCGACGGGGACCCATACCTAGCCCTGGGCAAATTTTACCGAGAACCGAATCAAAAAACGAGAACCGAACCGAATTTACCGAGAACCAAAATCCGGTTCCTGTTCGATTCCATTTCCTAAGAACCAAAATTTATTCGGTTAATTCAGTTCCTCCCTCGGTTAACCGAACCAACCGAGGAACCGAAAGCTCCCGCCTCCTAGAGACCCGGAGTCCGGCGCCCTGCGACAGCCGACCTCCCATGCGCCGCATCCCCGCCCTTGAGTCCCGGCGTGCCCTCTCGAGTTGCTGATTTTTGAAGCCGGAGTTGGTCGGTTAGTTCGGTTGAACGGAACCGAACCAAACTAACCAAAGCCGAACTTCGTCGGTACCGATTTTTTAGAAGATTCGATCGGTACCGACTTTCCTGGGAACCGAAGAACCGAGGAACCGAGGATTCGGTTCGGTTTGGTTTGGTAGTACCGAATGCCCAGGGTTACCCATACCGCCGTCAACCACTCTAGGTCCAAGCGTATTGGCCTGAGTCAAAACTCTGACGCCAGGGAAGAGGCTGTCATGCCTCGATGTAACCCGTGGCCATGACGGGCCATACCTGGGGATTCACATCAAGAACAGTGTCGGGTGTGCCGGTACTGTTCTACCTAATCCTCGTACGGACGCTGACAGGCGCGTCAGTTCACCTCGACGTCCGCCGGGACGGAGTGGAACGCCATGATCGACAGATGACGCCTGCGCATGGCGTCGGTGATGAACAGGGCCACGACATGGAGCCGTCCCTGATCGGCGGGACCCGCATGAAGGAGAAGAAGGATCCGGCAACCCTGGAAGCCTTCTTCTCTCTCCTTCTCCTTTTCCTCCGCTGTAACCCGCGCTTTCCCTTCGCCTATAAAAGGGGAAGCAAGGCGCCCCATGAAAGGGGAGGTCTGAACACAAGAGCACGCCACGAGCACACGGCTGAGCGGCAAGCGAGCTCTCAGCACCCGTTCACTCCTTCCACCAGAGACTTGGGATCCTCTCCCTCTCTCGCCTGTTTGTAACTCCTACTGCAAACCAAGTGCCAGTAACACGAGCAGCAGCGAACTGGACGTAGGGACGTTTTGCCCGAACCAGTATAAACCCTTGTGTCTTCTGAGCACACCATCCGAGCCAGACGCACAAATACAAATTTACTCGTCGGTGGTCCAAAAACACCGACAGTTGGTGCCAGGTAGGGGTTTTTTGCGCGTCTCGACGTCCACATCTGGCCTCGGATGGCTAGTCACTACGTCAGCTGGGTCCTCGGCGCGCACGTGCGCTTCGGGAACCTAGACTTCATCGTTACGACGGAGGGAGAGTTGGCGCCGGTTCCCACTGCCGTCCAGTCTCTCCACTCCGTTGGCCTCGATGCGATCACCAAGGCGCTTGAGGAGCTGCAGCTGCACGCACCGGAGGCCCACGCCCCCGGGAGCGACTAGCTCTTCGGCTTCGATTACAGGAGGCTAGAGCGCCAGCTCGGCGCCTTCCTAGGACCCCGACTGTCCCGGGAGGACCTGCGCCACCTCACCTTCTCGTTCGCCAATGTCATGACGTATCTTGCCGGAGGAGAGCCGCTCTCTCTGGAATACCTCATCCGGAGCGCCCCGATAGTGCTCCCGTTTGGTCTGCGCAACGCCGTAGAGATCGTTGGCCACCCTGTGGCGCAGCGCACGCCCCCATCCCCTACTAATGATGAGTTCATAGGGATGACCGA